TGTCAAGTCTGACGCCGACCACAGCGGACGACGGGCGACTGCTCTACCCGGTCAACCACTGCATCCGCATACACCTGCCCGGCGTTTCAAACCCCCACAACCTCTTTGACGCCTCCAGTGCGGACAAGGTGCCCCTAGAGGACTGGCGTCAGCCCTTTACTGTCTGTCTAATTGGCTTCCAGGTGCCTCTGCTTACCCGGCCCTGGCAGGCCATGACATGCCAACTCATAAAGAACCTCTCCACACAGAAGAACATTCGACTGAGTCATCTTAAGGAGGTTTGCCACGACACGAGGGTGAGTCAGGAATTGAAAATAATGGAGGTTGTTAGGGCGCTTCAAATGCTTTTCCACCCTACCCCTCCTTATAGGCACTCGTAGTTACTGCTAGGTAGGTTTGCTTTCGGTACGACTTCATCGAGCGAACACCAGACAATGAGCAATCCGGTGACGATTGGATATACGGCTCCAGCTAACCTTTACTTCTAAGGAAGTCCTACTTATCATTTGGGTGGGCTTAAGGTAACCTCCACTTTCTCGTTTCGCTTATTTCCCGTCAAATCTCTCCGAAGTATTATCATTAACGTGAGCGTTCCGCATACGGCTATGCTCAGGGGGTCGGGGTTGAAGTAGGAAGTTAAGCAGGCGGTTACCATTTAGCTTAGGCTTCCAGGTTAAGGTTAGGATTTGAGGTTTACAGCTGGGAGTTAGGCTGTCAAACTTGTCAGTTTCGATTATATTTTTGGTCGCAACCATCGCAAGAGTCGGACGTAACGACATGTGCTTCGCACATTCCATTTCATGTGATTGTTCAAAGCGGACTGCTAGCAGTTCGCCTGGAATGTGTCATCAGTGAAGTCTATAGTAACGACATCGACGTTGGTATTCTCGTCTACTGACTTGGGCTTCTACTCCATTGAATAAAGAATATTGGTCAGGCAGGAGTGGTTTCCTCGAAATTCGTGTACCGTCAAAGAACTATTTTTCTTCGAGAAACTTCATGGTGGCCTTTTTGATAATCCTTTCCATAACTTTGCAACAAATGCAAGTTAGGCTTGCCGGCCGATAATTGTTCGCGCTGGTTCTGGATCCACCTTTGTGAATAGGGTATATGTTCGCAATTTTCCAATAAGATGGGAGGAAGCCTCGATCAGAGGACAACCGGAAGATATACGAAAGTGGTCTGCATAGTTCGGAAGCCAGCTGTTGCAGTACTTTTGCTGATTTGGACCCGGAGACTTAGCTTCATTAAGCGCGAGAAGTTTCATTCCCACATCCTCTTCTGTGAAGTCGAGGTCCTCCATGATTGAGTATTACTCCCTGCATGGAAGTCTGTCGAA